GCCATCCATTCTCAGATTTGTGATTTAAAAACAAACATTCCATGGACAGCACTTGGCCTAAGCGAACTTTCATCAGAGGTTCGAGTACAATTTGAAGATTACACTACTGTGGTTTTAAAGGAAGATGCGATAGTGTTAATCTCAAATTGAAGAATCCACTTAAGCCAACACAATCAAGTGAGAAATTCCTGAAACACCCTGAAAAATACATCTTTAACTACTCTTCGATTAATTCAAGTGCTATTCATATGGAAATATTATCAGATAGGTCAAAATTCTGTTTCCCTCAGTCGAATGAAAAGACGCCATATGATCAAGTTCAGCTAGAGAATCTGATCAACCACACAAGGGACCTGATAGCGAATTCATCAGTGCTAAATTGTGCTCATCAATTTATGAAATTTGTACTGAAATCGCTCCAACATCTCACGAAGGAACATTTCATTCAGTTAAAGGAGTTGAGTCATAATAAGAATATCCTACTAATATGATATATATATATATATATATATATTCAAGCATGCGTTTGTAGGGATTTGATTGGTCAGTTATAGGATTTCATTATGAGCTGACATCAGTTACAGAACCATTGGAAAACCACAAGGGACTACTGCCAAGCAGCTAGCTCTTTCTCCAGCCTAGTTTAGGACTGACTCTTCATCGCTATGAACACACAGACAAGGGTTCAAATTCGGGAACTTCAGGTTACAAGATTGAGCTCGCAGACCACTAAGCCACTGGGCTACGATTGAATGACCACTCCTTGAATTCCAGCTTCTGCCATTTCACGCATGATATAGCGCGACTGGCACTATCCAATGTCACCTGTGGCAAATATCTGCCCTGACACCAAACCTGCTCTATCCTTCTGGTCAAGACTTCTCACTAGAACTCAGGTAACCACCTACCTGAATGAGGCCAGTAACTAGTGAGCATCTCATTGATATTCAATTATTGGTTCGTAGGGATTTGATTGATTGGTTACACGACTTCATCATGAGCTGACATTATAAATAGCCTTAAAATTTGTCTGATGAATAAAAGTACAAAATGAAGAATATTGAGCTTATTTATTTCATATGAAAATATTTTTTTTAAACATTCATTTTTCAATGTAAAACATTAAATTAAACAAAAGAGGCAATGAACTTCAGAATGCTAGAAACATCTCCGTTATCAAAACAAACATATTTTTGTAAAAAGACAAAGGTCTCATTTCTCTAATAATAATAATAAAAAACTCAAAGTCAACCCTCAAAATACTTTGTTGTTGTGTTTCTTTTTTCAAAATAGGTTAAGATAAACTATAAAACTCAATAACAAAGTTAAATAGAATTAATTAATTTATATATATCTTACATTATTATACTCAGCAACAATAATATAGACAGTTATGCTTTGCCTACAGTTCATTCTATTCATTGTATACACAAGTAAACTATTAATTTCTGCTGAAATTCAGCTGTAATTCTGTCTCCTTTTCTAGTTGGTTTGCAGTTCATTTATGCGGTTGATGTAAGCATTACTGTTCAATGTTTTTATATTTCATACTAATTTACATACTTACATATACATATATGCTCACTGTTCTAATAGATAGATAGATATTCATATATAAAGTAGCATAGTTATTTGTTATGCGTCGGTGGCACAACAGTAAAATGTTCGCTAATCAGGCATAATGTGGTTCGGGGTTCGATCCTAAGCTGACAAGGCACTCCTTTACCTTGCTAAGCCAGTAATAACACTAGTAAATCGGCAAGGTTAGCAGCCCCATCCTGTAAAAGTAAACACCAATGCTACTGAAACATAAAACGTCTTGCTTGAAGTCTCCTGTGTTTCGCTGGGGACGTAAACGAATGAAAAATATGATAAAAAATAGTCATTCGTTAAAAAATACATACTTGCTGCTTGGTTAACTTCATGAGAAAGTACTTAGAAGTGTTTCCTACACACTATAGAAGATAAATGTTTAAAACTAGGGCTCCTAGTGGTGTTGTCCCTATAAACAACGGTAATTGTGGAATACGATCCAGGTTGATTTTAAGACACTGATAAAACTGACTAAAAGTCGTGAATTTCATTATGAGACAGACTAAGGATAACTAGTTATGTATGTAACAAACCAAGTTTACTTTTAACAGTTTTTGTATTTCCCAGTGTGAATGAAAAACAAAACGATATCGTTGGTATTACTGACGTTTCACTATTTAATGCTGATGCTGCTATTAGCTTCATCAAAGTAGTATTATTAAACCAGAATTTACAAAATCCACTCAGCTGGCATTATATAACAACTTAATCATCCTTCATCAGCATGGGGTTGGCCAACTGATAAAGATAACAAAACCAGGTTTAAATTGTTGGATTTGATAGGCCTATATACTAATGGAACTGCTAATCACATTCGTGTTGATTTTATCATTTCCTGGGAGTGAGAGGGGTGTTGTAACCTGGTCAAATTCTGTTTTAGTCCGTCATTCCTATTCAACTCAGACAATTTGTATTTTCATTTGATATGAACTGCTTCCCATGATATTAGACGTTCTCTGTGATTTCTGAAATCCTTCGGCATTATTTCAATATTGTCATAATCAATTTTATGACCTGATTCTATAGCTTAGCGTGTGAGCGACCTATGGCTGGTGATTTTTTAAGCTTTTATAGTTCAACTGGACTTCTCAACTACCGAGCAGACACTCACTCTACGGTCTTCGCTCCTTCTCATTACATTGATTTCTCTCTGACGAGGTTCATCCGATGTGTATCACATCACATCACATTGCAAGCATTTTATTTTGTAGACACAATTAGATTGAGAATGCTTAGGGAATTGGCGATCTTTCACATGAACTAGGTTGCTTTGTGGTGTGTGTGTGTGTAAGGGAGAGACTTTGACGTTTTGGAGAAAACTCCATTGTTGTGCTTACTGAGTACTTTTCTTTTCTGATACCTTCTAACGTATCTGATGGTCTATATGGAATGACGATATTTTAGATGCATGTTTTCGGAATACGTTTTCGACGATGTTTAATGTAGGTTTTGATTTTGTTAATGAAGTTGTTTGGGTAGTTATTTTCCTCTCAAGAGGATTTTTAGTGATGTTTAATATTTCTTCTTCTTTTGTTCCCTGCTCATCCGTTAACATCGAAGTGTATGGTCGTCTAAGAAGACTTGAAACAACTGGTATCATTGCGCTGATTTGGTGTGATGAACCGAAGTCTAAATATTGGTCGGTGGGAGTGGGTTTTCTTCCTGAATAGATATATGTATATACTGTGATATCCCTTTTCCCTCCTCTTAACTAAGCAGTCTAGAAATGTTAGTTCACCAAAGTCTGATTCTACCTGCTTTGGAAGTAAACTGAATGTTCAGTTTCTCCAAAAAGGAATTACGTACATCAAATTTTAGCACAATGAAAGTGTCATTAACGTATCTCAGCCATATTTTAGGCATGAGTATGCTTGAAAAGATGTCATCTCCAAATGTATTCATGAAAAGATCAGTGACTAGTGGGGAAACTGGTGGACCCATAGAAATACCACTTGTCTGTTTATATCAATTCCCTTTAAACCTAAATCAAATACCTCTCAGATAGAATTGCTAACTTTTAATAATTCCACTGATGTCTGGTGGATGTCTTTGTGATAGAGTTGTGTCTGGTTCTAGTAAACTGAAAGTGATATCAAGACTTTCAGTAATAGGAATGCTGGTATATAATGAGTTAAAAGCATAGCTTACCATAATATCTTCTTGATCAACCTACCGGTGTTCTGTTTTGCACTTGAAAACATATGAATCTTTTATAAAATTTTGAGTGCAGTTTTGCAGTGATTGTAATATCGAAAACAAGTATGTGGAAAGGTTGTATTTTGGTGATGTGAGTTGGCAAAATCGACTACTTCTCTTAATGGCACGGTAGGTTTATGTAACTTTGGTTGACCATAGAATTTCTTAGGATTCATAAAATCTTAGTTTTTGGTTTAAACAGGAGAGAATTTCGAATTTCGGGGCTTTAATTCTTGAACATATACCTATCGAAATAGTCCAACTGATCTCTCTTTGACTCTCCATTCAAATCCCTCAATAAGCAAAGTCAGACTACTGTGAGAGAAGTTTCAAGATAAGATGAATTACAGACTAACTGCGAATAACCTTTTGAGTTACAAAACAGTTAAATCTCTTATTCAAATATTTAGGAGCATATATGTTCTTAAAATGTTACTTCTAAGTTTACATTGATTTGTTAGCTGATTTGCATTCAACCCAACTTTTCTGTTCATGCTATATATTTCATACTGTGCGTAAATTATTCAACTTCCACTCTACCTTATTATATTTTAAAAAATCAAGGCTGAACACCTCTCCAGTCCTCCATCTGATGACTTGAGTAAGTTGATTCTTTTTGTGTATCATTTGTCAATCTTATCTCCATACACCTTTAGAATGTGAAGTATGCGAAGGCCTAGTCAACATAGGAAAGTTATACCTCTTATCTCCAAAGGTCACTAGAATACTTGACAATTTCACTTGGAAATTTTGCAGGTTACCAGGAATTGTTACGAAAAGAGTGAGTTAAATATTTAGTGTGTAAAGCTATGAATCAATAAACAAGTCAGTAAATATATTCTTTCAAACATCTATAAAACAGAAAACGATTGAGCAAAGATTATCCTTTCCGATAAATTCCTCTTCCGGCTCCACAATTATATATATGTTTATATACATAGAATATTCTAGAATAGTAGCCAATAACACTATTAGTGTTTCTTAAGTAATATCGATTTGTAAAGTAAGATGAATGTAATTACAGTTCATTAAAGATGCTTAAATTATAATATTAATATTAAAAATATAGTAGCAAATAGAATATCAACTAAAATTAGGGAAATTTCTACAAAAATTGAGGATCATTCAAACCTAGATGGCCAAAGTGAGGATAATGTTTGAACTAGCTTCTTTTGGATGCACAAATTAGGCTTCTTAATGTGGATCCCAACAGCCAGTTTCAGCAATATTTAGTAGTCGAACTCTTAAGGCGAGATTGAGATCTGTTGGTATGCAATAAACAACCCTGAAAGCCTGGTTAACATCATTCTTGTGTTCTGTATCCACAAGATGAGATAGTACAGCGCTGCGAATAGCAAAGGACGAACGAAATCTGTAGAACACAAGATTGATGTAAACCAGGATTTCAGAGTCATTTATCGCATACCAACAGATCGCAATTTCGCCTCAAGAGTTCGACTGCTAAATATTGCTGAGACTGTTGGAATCCATATTAAGAAGCCTAATTTATCCATCCAAAAGTAGTTAGTTCAGACATTATCCTTACCTTGGCCATCTGCGTTTGAATGATCCTGAATCTTTGTGGAATTTTCCTAATTTCAGTTGATATTCTGTTTGCTACCAAATCTTTATTATTAGAATTTAAACATCTTTAATGAGTTGTAATTGCATTCATCTTACTTTACAACTCAATATTATTTTTCAAAAACCAGTAATATTTTTATTGACTACTAATCTAGAATATTCTAGGTATATAAACATGCATATGCAATAGTAGAGCCAGAAGAGGAATTTATCGGGAAGGATATTCTTTGCTTAATTATTTTGTGTTTTATAAATATATTCTTATCTAAAGTGATTTATATAATATGTGAGAATGCTTGTTTGTACCACTTTAACCGATGTTTCCTTTTGGATGGCTAGTGCCTCGGCTATGCCCAGATGTCTTAATTTTACTCCCTTTCATAGGTTTGATCGAATTCTGCGTATATTATTTTGAAGGATTTTTTCGAATGGCGGTGAATATCTTGAACTGGTCAGATGTCCTGTCACACTGAACTATATACACGTACTATGGGCCAAATGGTAAATCTCCCTCATGAATACTATCCAGGCTGGCGAGTGAAAAGAGAACGAGAACGCGTGTCTAGTTCAATGTTTACTTTATTGAGTGAAAATGACCACTTGCTGAGACATATCTTGCAAATATAAGCAGAGTGTTATATAACACATCGATATACTTAATACTTTTCTCGGAAACCACTCAAGCCTTCTTACGATAAATGCTCGTAGGCAAAACGCTTTGAGGTTATGTTAGAAAAATCAAATAATTTAATCTGACTTTAAGCAAACATTGGTCGAAAGGAAATAAGAATGGAACTTGTACACTACAGTAGAGTATAATTCCACTGTGAGTAAAATTTATTTTGATTAATTCTCACAGTGGTGTTATGCGGTAATATTTACTACTGATGACCACGTTTTGAGCATAGTTCATTATTCCTCATAATCACATCAGGATACTCACACAATTTTCAAACTTCCTTTTAAATGATTCCGCTATTTCTCATCTCTTGATATGACTGGTAGTAGTAGTACTTTCGATATTTCTAGTATGAGTGACGAGTCTGAACGAAGATTCAGTTTGTAATCAACCTCTCTTTATCTCCACCTGCCTATTTAACTTCTTAGAATTCTAACCCTCTCGCACTCTATTGTGTGCTTGTGGGTTGATGCATGCATACAGTGCAGTTGTTGAGTTTTTGTTCTAAATTACCTATCTTCGTGGGATCATTCATTCTAACCTTAGCTAAATTCTTATGTTCTGACACAAAATCTGACTACTCCTGACCTAGTAGTCTAACGTAGGTGATTGACTTAACTCACAGTCATTGCAAGGTATTTTGAAAATTGTATGACTTTGTTTAGTTGGATCAACCGAAAGAGTCCTTTAACCAACAGAGATTGTCCTTACCTGAGTAAGTTTGTAGGTTTAAAAGCCACCAGCCTAATTCTTGCTTTGTTAAGAATCCTACTTAGAAAGGGTCTCAGATGTACCGTCCTTATATGGTAAAACTACTGTAGATAGCTTATATTCTTTCCTATTTATGTTATCATTATTAGTTTCCGCATTGATTGTATTTCGCTTTTGACCTTTTCTGATCTTTCTAATGAATTTTTTAAAATAGTTAGTTATTTAATACCAACCAGCTATTCTTCTATCTGTTTCATTTCATCATTTAGATCTTCTTTTGTATTACTTAGTGCTATTGCTCTGTTTGTTATACGGATAACTAAGTCTGCCACACAATATTAGGGGAAAGGGTTAAAATTCTAAAAAGTAATGTAAGTAGGTGGAGAGAGAGGTGGATTATGGAGTCCTTGTTAATCGAGTCTACACCCAACGCGTGCAATAGGATGCAATAACTCATCAGTCATACCAGAAATATGAAAGATACTACTACCAATCAAACCAAGAGATGAAAAATAATAGAATTATATAAAGGAAGTTAGAAAGTTGTTTGGGTCATCAGTAGCAAATATTACTGTATAACACGGTGTGAGTTAATCCAAATTAATTTTACCCACATTGGTCAAAATCGTACACTATGTTTTAAGTGATCACAATACCACAGAAATTTATATTTTTAATTTAGAATAGATTGTTAAATCGGCATAAATTACAGTCTAGGTGTGATTATGTCTTTGACTGGTCACTACTTAAACAGTTAGATAGTTCTATGCCACTTGAAATTTCACAATTAGTTTGACAACAGCTTCAAAATATGTGAATTTTGCCTTCAGTTAAACTTAATAGCATAGCTAGATAATAATGTGAATGACGGAGGAGTACTTTACTTGCTTGTAAGGATTATTTACAATTCAATAAGATATCTCCTGTGGCGAATGCTGGTGACGTGCGGGTTTATTTTTCACATGTTTTTCTAAGGGATTTGATTCCTTTTTCAAGTCTGACAACCAATTGATATTATGGACGATTGAGTCAGATCCCGGTAGTTGAGAATGCTATAAGAGCTTGCCTTGTACATGGAAGGTCCTAGGTTAGAACTCCTGTCGGTGGGTGCGTACTGATTAAAAGTCAGTCTCAAGCTAGGCTGACGGAACATGTGGTTCTCCAGTACTCCTTGCTGGTTTTCAATGGTTCCGTAATTGATATGAATCCGTCGTCAAACTTAATAAATAAATCAATTCCCTGCAAATCAATTCTTGAAAATTAGAAAAAAGAGCGGGGAAATATATCCCTTTTCAATTCAACTGCTTCTTTACCATTGACTGGCTGGTTGGCTGTACACTAATACATAGTGGTCTTTCACACCAAAATCTTTTCACCAATAAAGTCGTTATCTCAGTTAATCAGTTTTAGGTATAGGTGAATAATGGTGGGTGAAATTAAGAGGTTAAAAGTCATCAAAACAATTAACTAATAGGTGTTATTAACAAGATATCTAAGTTTTGAAAGAGGGAGGAGTGAAGCGTAATTATCAACGAAATTCAAGATAAGTTAATTCTTAGTCGTTAACACCAAGTTAATATGTACCCAACAAATTCGTGAAATAGCCATGATGACTAAGAAGAATAGGATGACTCAGAAGAATTACGTAAAACACAAACAAAAAGGTTAATGGAATTAGCTGGAGTTGTAAAAATAAGCAAAGTCAAGAGACAGTAACAAAGGGAGGGGAAAAATTGTTTTTAAAAACTTAACGTATTATGTAATTGTCCATGGCAACGAAAGGGGCTGTAAAAATTCCTTTCGAATTCACACATAGATTTGGCTTGTTCAGATGAATTCCGATCGCCTCTGCTGTATGTGAAACTCATACTCGTAGACCATGCGGCGTGAGGTCGGGTGAAATACGATAAATAACTTTAAAGCCTTCGTTAGAGTCAACTTGATGTCCAGGTCAGCTTTATTCGCACCTCTGCCAAACCAAGATCAGAGGTGTTCAGAAATTCGACAATGAACTTGGCTAATTGTACGTCCAATGATCGATCCTATGGCATCACCATCTGACTGTCTATATAAATTCTTTATTGAATCACTAGGCCAAGTCCTAGCGGATTTCTCCTGGCGAGACTACAGAATGGTTCTCTTAAAAAAGTAATATATTATGGTGATTTCAATTGCACGATTTGTTGACTATACACTTAGAGCTGTGAAGAAAGTAAGTGAAGCTTGGGGATATATTGGATAAATTCAATAAAGCACATCTTGAAGATGAGACCCGAAACTAGACAGGCTGGCTGGCTGACGAAACAGCTGGCTGTCCAGTGCTTCTTGATTCGCCATAATTCTTTAACTGATATCAATCCATGGCCAAAACTTCAGTAAACTAAAATATAATAAAATAAGTATACAGTTAGTTATGAGTCTGCTCTAGCTGAATGGGACTGAAGAAAACGGAGTTGAAATTAGTCATTTATATACATAAGTATATATTTACATGTTCATGATTAAATATAATATAACTTGGACTGTATATTATCATTCTCTCTTCAATTACATTTTGATTTTCATAGTGTATCCCTTGGGCACAAGATATTCTGAATAGAAGCTTCTACAATGTTTTAAAAACTGACTCCGCTCTAGTTTGTGAAGTATGTTTTGTTTTTGTTTGTAAAAATTAGTTCAGCTGTTGTTTTTAACCTTCTTGGGGAGAAGGGGGGTCAGTGGGTAGAGTGTATACATAGAGAATAGGTGCATTAGTTCACTTGAAATACTTTCAATGGAATTTGACTGAATTTTATGCTTGAACTAACACAACTGTGCACTTATTACAAGCAATATCATTAGGTACACTGTCCTACTCAATCAGATTTAGCAAAAAAATACTTATTGTGAATTTACGGCTCACAGGTAGAATGCTAGCCAGCCACGTAGGTGGTTCGGAATTCGATCCCTAATCGATGGACTCATCCTTTACCTCGTTAAGCTAGTAATAAGACTGATGAAGAAGTAAGGTTGGAGGTGCATGAGGCTAGCAACCTCATCTTGCAAAATTAAATACCATTTTTATCGAAACTTCAAAGCTCTAGCTTTAAACCCTATGTTCCACTGCGAACGTAAAGGAATAAAAAGAAAGACTTATATACATATGTATATATGCAGAAACATCTTAATCACCATAAATGGGAGAAATCTGAAGGAAGCAACCTCTCTTACCTGGAAGGCATCGTTTCAACTACAGGCTGACGGAACAGATGAGGATATCAAAGAGAGTATCGGGAAGGGAAGGCAAGCTTTTATTACTCTAATCAAGTCTGTGTGGATATCAACAACATTACTCAGTATGAAAAATAAGATCCGGATTTTCAACTCCAATGTGAAGTCAGTCAGTGCTACTCACTATACGGATCAGAGACTTGACGTCACGCTGCGTCACGAAGGGCACTTCAAAAAATCTACAAACATACATCAACAGCTGTCTTCGCTCAATACTTCGCTCAAGATCAGATGGCTGGCCAGAAAAGATCAGCAACAGGAATCTCTGGCAATGAGCGAACCAACCAACTGAGCAGGAACCAATTGTGCAACAAATATGCAGGGAGAAATGGAGGTGGATTATTGCCATACTCTGAGAAAACAAACCATTAAGTGAGTGATATCACACGCCAGGCCATCACTTGAGTGGAACCTGAATGGGAAGGGGCAAGCTGGTCGTCAGTGTGAGGGTGACATGGAGGAGAAGATCAAATGAATAGGGCAGACTTGGAGCCGGATGATCAAAACGTTGGCAGAGAACCGAACGCGATGGGGACGTACACGGCTGAAGCCCTATGCTCCTCTAGGAATTAAAGGAAGTAATAATAATAATAATGATTGCAACATATTAAGTCGTTTGTAGGGTTTTAAATCTTTGGTGTATAATCGAAGCCTTTGTCCCATATAGGGAGAACCTTCAATTTTCTCTTTCCCTGTTTATGCATAAATGTATGTGTATACATGAATTTTCACTAATATTTCCTATTTTAATTTTTCTAGTACGCTTTTCTTTGCTGAAGAAGATCGCTTTTTAAGAAGTCAAGAAGTATATCTGATGTACGTAAGTCAGCATTCTTATCTGTGGTCATTTTCAATCTTAATTCAAGCATTGTGTGTCCGGCTTGACAAATTCCACTAAGAAGCACCTCAAGCTAACGCATGACTTTATGAATATTTTAAGGCTTTGCACAAAAATTCTAGAGATAGCCTGGATTGATGTAGGTTGGGCCTCTTATAAGCTGGCTGCATTTATTCAGTGTCCAATATATTTCATGACAGTTCTCGTTAGAGTGATTGAAAGTAATCTGATGTAGTTGTGTTCCTTGAGCTAGATGGTTTATTCGCGAAGCTTTCACTGCCCTACTAGGCAACATCTTCAGGGCGTACTTCAATTTGATGAAGTGGGCACTTTAATTTCTCCACGGATTTATTAGTCATCTTTCCTGGCTATTTTGGAAGTGATTGGATGTTTTTGTGTGTTTTCATACTCTCTAGGCTACTTGTATTGGTATTGATTGTTTCCTTGACTGGAAGTTTGACCCTTTGTGTGTGAGATTTCCTTCTTATCGATTGGTAATTTTTTTCTACATCAGTATGTCCATTAATAACGATTCACTAGAATACTAGGCATCCAAAAATTCTCTGGCACTCTCGGTGTATCCTCTGGCTATTTTTTGAACATTGTTCCAGTCAAATTGATGTCCATGGTTGTCTGTATGCAGCGATATGAAGGAGTAGAAGTCATGACTTTTGCCATCTAGTTTGTGTTCATGGATGCGAAGACGAAGAGGGCGTTCACTTTGGCCAATTTAGTGTCGTTCGCAGTCGTTGCAATTTACTTTGTAGATGATGTTGATTTTATCTTCTTTCTCTGTTGAGTGTTTTGGCTGATATAGAACTGAGTGAAGTGATTTTGTTGGTTTATCTGCAACATCAGTTCCTAAAGTTGTGAAGAGTCTTGCAGCGATTTCTGAGATGTCCTTTATGTATTACAGGGCGATTTTCTTTGTGTTTTTCTTGGGGGCCTTTGATTTGGTTGGTTGGATTAGGGGTATTTCCTTTGATGAAGTTCCGTGGATATCCATTCTTTTGCAAGACGTCTATGAGATACCTTCCTTCAATTTTACTCAAGGCAGGAGTGCTGCAATGAGTCCTGGCTCTCCTGAATACTGTTTGTACACAACTCGTTTTGTCTGCTATTGAGTTGTTGCTGTTGTAACTGAGTATTTGAACTGTGTGAATTGATTTTCTATAAACTTGAATTTCTTATTTTCCTGTAGTTGTTCATTTGACTAAGACATCGAAAAATGGGATTTTGTCCTCCGATTCCCATTCTCTTGGGTATTTGATGTCTTTGAAGATGTTGTTTATTAAGTTGTGAATTTTCTTCAACTCGTTCACTTTGATAACCACCACTGTGTCATCAGTTTTACATATCCGAATTTTAGTTTTGGTCTTCAGTAGGATTATGTTTTCGGGTCAGTGCATCACTGCTTCTGCACAATCAAACCTGAAAGTATTGCAATTACATATTTCACAAAAACGGGTTCGTCAGAGAAGAGAGTGATCAATTACTAGAAAACGTATCGCTTTAAGAAATAAAGGATTACAGGTGCAAACTTGTGAGCATCGGTAGAATTTAACTATTTTAACACAGTTATAAATTAAATGGAGTCATCAGGCAAAAATCGGAGATTTTTGAATTGGGGATGTATGCTTAATTCACTCGCGAAATTAGGTTCTTTTGGCGCAACCTGATAAAAAATAACAAGACGTTTAAGGTGTTTTATACACTACTGTGATATATTAGCTGTATTTGTATGAATTATCATTGATAAATATTTCCTTTGAAAAGCACAAGCATCTTGAGATGTCGGTATCCAGACACTGAATGGAAAACTTAACTAACTGTGACACAACCATTTAACAATAATAATATTATGATAATAATAGTGTAACGACAGAAGACAAGGGCCACGCAACAGATCGTCTATTCAGAAAATCACGAGATATTTATAGATTTTTATGCACATTATTATTCATTATTGTCAGCAGAGAAACAACGTCTTCTGATTGGTTGTTTTCCTGCTGAAGGTTATTCTCTCATCTCTTTGTGGCCGTTTCTTAGACATTCCGGTCTGTGAATCGTATCTGCCCATGTTACGTCTGCTGTGATTGGCTGTTGAGTCCCTCAGGGTAAGGCTTTTGTTCTTGTTCTCTCTCCTAACCTTGATTCGGGAGGTAAACACTGACGTAGATTGTTGTTTACAATTTTGCCTTGCAGACAGCTCTCACCACAATGGTAATAGTGGCTTTATTCTGAAAAAAAGTGCATTTCACATAATACAGGATATTCAGCGAGTTCCATTTCAAGGGAAATACCCCTTGTGTGGCATCTTCAAATAGGAGAATAATCGATAATACATCGTCTGAATCAATACTGTTCCAACCGAAGTATGCTTGCTTCAGTGCTAGCTACTCCACAGTGTTATTCCTCGATTTCCTTCGATAATATTCCCAGTTGTAGGTAGGAAATCATTTGAAATTGAGCACAAGTGTCGATTGTGACTTTTTGTGGTAATCAGAAGATTAGGACGATGTGAAATGAAGTAAAGCCGATGCACTCTGATGGATAGATAATTTAGATAGCCCGATGATTTAAGCAGGCTGCCAGGAGAGGTGTCATATGTGCAATCAGACATTCGGTTTTGTTGTTTATCTCATGTGTCTGACAGAGACTGACTCTCTCTCATCCTTATCACATTGTTCTTCCATGACTAAGAACGATAAACTGTCCATCAGTCAAGCAGTCAGTCACTCAACACCTCAGTATTTTTTATTCCCCTAACTTGGTATCCATCAGATAATGTAAAAATATGATAAGTGTAAATGAAAACTTTACACAGAATTCTACATCTTTATATTTTTGTTAAAAAAAATTACAAAACTTCATACTACTCATTGGTTTGAAGAAGCCAAAGCAAACTGGTCCATAAGAGTATTCGTCAGGTCAGCTGTAATGTTTACCTCTCTAATTTATCTGTAGCACTACACATAAATTATCATATCGTTATTACTCCTGTGGGTTTTGAGTGGAACATGGGGCTTCAACAGCACATATTCACTTTCTTCTGTTTGGTGCTGACTTCTTCAGCTAGCTGACCCCACGTTTGCCCATAATCTCTCATGTCGTCCTTGCCAACATCGGATAACCCACTCGTCACTTCCCTTTGGGATTCTACTCGAACAATGGCCTGCATTGCGAGCGATGTCATTCGATGGTTACCTCAGAGCATGCCCTATCCATCTCGATTTCTTCCTACATGTTTGTTGAGCAGTCGGCTCCTGGTTGATTTTTTGCAAGCCAGAGTTCCTTGTCGCTGATTCTTTCAGGTTGGTTGGCGTGCTATTTGGTCTTCAGTTTGAAGTTAACGAAGATAGCTGTTGATAAAGTTATGCAGCTAGCTGTTGGAAATGCTCTTCGTGATGCGCCAGTTCAGTTTTTGACCCATACAGAAGCAGTAACTGACTTCACATTTGTGCTGGGATTCCGAATATTGTTGTTTATGCTGCATAGTGAAGAAGCTTTCCAAAACTCGTTTCAGATTGATGAAAACATATCTTGACCTTCCGATTCTGGCTGATTTTGACATTTTATCCGTTCCGACTGACTATTGCTGAAACGATACTCAGTAGAAAAGTGAAGGATCTGACCTCTTTCATTTCTCTCTCACTGATGGAGATTGGTGCTGGTTGTTGTTGTTGGTTGGTTGGTTGCTTACTTTCATCACTTCCGTCTTCTCTATGTTCACCCGCAGTTCTGTCTTCACCACCCGCTCACGTCTTCTCCCAGTCTGTTGATTTTCACCTGCCTAGAAGTCTTCGAGTTAGTGTGACATTAAACATAAATCATCCACGCGAGAAATAAAGATCTTCTCTAGCCTCCCTGTCGGTCAGTCCAAAGTATTCCTGCCTTCTCATTCCCCACGTAGAGTGCGCCGCATAATCCAATCCACTACAATTAGGAATGTCATCGGCGATAATAGGCAGCCAGCTTTGTCTTACTCCTGTATGCCCTTTCTAACGCCTCACCGAGTTTTCCGTTGTGGATCACCTGACACGTAACACTGTCATATAGCCAGCTGTTGAATGAGGTTGATAAAAAATTGGGGCACTGCACACTTTAGTGTTTAAGCGATTTTCAAATTGCTTCTTGATCAATGCTGTCTGCCATAGTCGATGAATCTAAGGTACAGGTCTGACTGCCATTCTACGCATAAATACGCATTACATTCAATACAGAAATTAATAATTACACACCATAAGTCAAGGGGTTTAGCTGATGACATATAGAAACTTTTATCTTCCAAACTTACATGTTTTCACAACAGATCTGTCATTTATCCAAACAAAACACAGTCTGCTAATATATAATTTGCGACCAACAAATACAACTTATTGTCCGAAATAACTGGTCAAAGTGACAGTAGTGTGGAACGTGTATCGTGAAGTTCACGAAACTTTTATGGTTCAAGAAAAAACACTTTACAAGAAGCATATGTTGAGAAATTAGTTTCTTAAGAAATTGGCTTGTGTCACACAGAGTTTGTCTCTCCGCCCACTAAATTACAACTGCGTGGGTATTCAACATTTTCATGGATTGTCCTATATAAACTTGCATCATGCACCTTTCCTTGTTTAAATTCATCAATGTATTTGCTTCTTATCTTCCTTTCAGTTGGGATGCACCTTATTCCATTCACTTTCAGCGTTTAACACAATCATACAATTATTGTAGATCTTCTGCAAAATTCTAATAGACATTTAATAACTAATTGGATTTATGGGAGTTTTATAGAAATGTAGTTTCGTAATGATAAACTTTGTTTCGCTTTTTTTAAAAATGTAATCCGTGCATGTTTTCGCATAAATGTTTTCAGTAAAATATTTCAAACCCCAATCAGATTTAAATGTAAAGTAAATATTGACTACTACTCGTGAACTAACACGTTGAAAGG